GGGTGCGTCTATCTCCGGCGCAGCTACCCCTTCTTAGTCCCTTACCACAATATTTCGGTTAAGCACGACCGTCTCTAACGCAGGCTAAGCACTCTAGGCACGACGGCCGAGAGTTAAGGACGTGCTGCCAACAGTAATCACTAGGAGACGCTTAGATAACATTCACTACATTGCATACAGTAATTACTACCTAAGGTGTACTTACACTTTAATATGTATGGAGTAATGAGATGTATACCCTGTGGGTAATTGGGAGGTACTTATTATGCAATTACAATCATTACAGTATGGCGTTTAGATGTTAATTGGGTGGTACTTACTGTGCAATTGCACTTATTACAGTACATGCTGCAATTGGGAGGTACTTTTTAATTGCGCGTCTATCTCTGGCGCAGGCTACCCCTTCTTAGTCCCTTACTTCGATATTTCGGTTAAGCACGACCGTCTCTAACGCAAGCTATGCACTCTAGGCACGCCGGCTGAGAGTTAAGGACGTGCTACCAACATTAATCACTAGGAGGCACTTAGATAACATTCATTACACTACATTGCATACAGTAATTACTACCTAAGGTGTACTTACACTTTAATATGTATGGAGTAATGAGATGTATACCCTGTGGGTAATTGGGAGGTACTTATTATGCAAATACAATCATTACAGTATGGCGTGTACATGGTAATTGGGAGGTACTTACTGTGCAATTGCACTTATTACAGTACATGATGTAATTGGGTGGTACTTACTGTGCAATTGCACTTATTACAGTACATGATGTAATTGGGAGGTACTTGCTAATTGCGCGAAGGGTGGGGGGTACTTAGGATAATTACTAATTACCCAATTACCTCTCTCTGTACCTCTTTCTCATTTCCAGAACCGGCCAATTACATCTACTTACTTCATCACCATATTCATCTGCTACTAAAATACTAAAAGAATGTTTAAGGAAAAAGAGAAAGCCACGTTTTTGTTTACAATTTTTTTTAAACTGTAATTTAATGGACTAATTTTGGGTATTGTTTAAATTTTCATATTATGTACTTAATTAATTTTAGATTTAAACAAAATGAACCTCAAAGATATGCTGATGATATGGAGTATCCCAAAAAAGCAAAAAGCTTACAAAATTCTTAAGAAAACTATTCAAAGCCAAAAACATAAAATAGTTAGTTAGTCTTCGTGTCCGAAATATAAAGATATAGGTATAAATATTTAGATATTATGAGTGATTTTTTATTCTATAAATAGAACGTAATTTGTTTCTAAATCACTAATAAACTATATTATGTAGTAACAAATTAAACAAGAATATCACATTATTCATGTATTTTTTATTTACTAAGAAACTTCCCAAAAAACAATGAATGTTCATTAATGGAGTGTATATCGCTATGCTAAAACAATACTAGAACAACTTAAATAATGTGGATTTTGACCATTTTGAGTTATCCAGCTCATTATGAGTACCTACCTACTGTTTTGGCACAATGATATTATATGAATGTGCATTGTGTGATATCTTATATTTTAGGAATAAAATAATATTTTTTGCAGGTTTCTGTTAACAACGATTCCAAGAACTTTTGAAAATATTATTCAAACGGCCTTCACAAATATATAATTCTCAATCAAGAGCTTTTGATCTAACATTCAATTTTTATTCTCCAAAAGGTTACAGCTACGTAAGAAGAAAGTTTAACAAGACTTACCTCTTACCAGACCCAAAATATCAAAAAGTTACCAACCAATTGATGGTTCTCCTGCTTTCCATAGAGTGAAATTCTCCTCGAAAGTACTAAAAGAAAAGTGACAGAGGCAACCGAAGAAGACAAAAAAATCTTTTTCCAAACAAAAACAAGAAATTTGTTTAAGAACCTAATTATTGTTTGAAGATTTACCAATAATGTTTGATAACGTTTTAAGATTATGCCCAAAATTTTGACGAGGTTCACAATGACAGAATATATAGATATGTATTAGTACAGATGGAGGTAAAAACTTTCTCTATACCTATACCTTTCTAAAACACTGAAAGTTGTTTACCTACATATGTACTGATATCCTATATATATTCTGTCATTGTAAACCACCAATATTTTGGTCACGAGCCGCAACTGTTTTAAACTGTCCCTTAATTGTATTGGACATCTACCCAAAACTTAAATTCAATTTATATATTCTATGTAAAGACAATTTCAGTTTAAAGAAAAAACGAACTAAATTCAACGATTCTCCACTTTAATGCCATATGTATATCGAAAACTGGTCATAGTATCGGATTTAAAATACATAACTCTTAAAACGGTGTTAAAATTATATTATATACCGAGAAAATGGTTACATTTGACCGGGAAAGTTTAAGGTGTTTGTGGTTTTTGTACTTTTATTAAAATAGAATATCTTCCAACAAATTGTAAACTACACAAATAATTAAATGTTTATTTTACGTATGAAGTTTATTAATATTAAAATAATGTTACAAAAATAATAATTATTAAAACCAATGGAATGACACACAGTCTTAACAAAAGAAATCGACTGCATTCCTCAACAGTGTTCGATAATCTGCCCATCCAAATATTTGTCCCACTGACGCTGGGTTGTCTCTGCACTGCCTGCACGACCCTTTTCTCGACCGCCGGGTTTATGATGTTTTGCTTTCCCAGAAATCGGCTGGGGTTAAGGGACCATCCAAAAATAGATTACAAAATAAGCAGCCTTGTATATTTTGAAGCTTAGAGATAAGCATATTTTAGTGATATTACTTTCCCCAAAAATCAATTTGTAGTATAGGGTTTTGAAGTAAATCCCTAAAAAAAATATTTTGTGGTTCTCACTATATATAAGAAATGTGTATTGTGCAATATGTGGCCGACGAAATAACACATTGAGTAGTACTTTTTGAAAAAAAAAAAAAAATGCTTCCCTTACGTCATACTAGAATTAATAAGATTTTGCAAAAAAACTACCGTCACATTTGTGAATCACCCTGTAATTAAAAATATTTTTAATTATACGCATGTCAGGCTATATTACAAAAATATTAAATGCAAAACGTGTATATGCAACAGAAATTCAATCTAGCTCGTAAGTTGGAAAATAAAATCCGAAAAATTGGGCAATTTTTCAATATATCATACAAATACGATAAATTATCGTACGTCTTGCAACCCTGCTCTCGCTGTTGACATGATTTCTTATAATAGGCCCAGTATATTGTTCTTTATACTGGGTAATAGGCACTGATCTTCAGTGGTAATAGGCCAAATCGTGAGAGTGCTCCGATCACATACTTTGATTACTATACGGGGCAAGAGAGAGGTCCGACCACATACTTTGATTACTATACGAGGCAAGAGAGAGGTCCGACACGCCCAACATAAGGCGCGGCCATTTTGAACCCTGTGACACAGTTTACAGCTAAAGAATCAGATCGCTCACTCTGCGTCGGCACTTTTGATCTCAATGTTTCAGTTTATACACTGTGCAACTCGGATAATACAATATATGACAACCGCCTATAATAAAACAGCAGTCTTCTGCGTATCCTGAATTTGTATCCCTGGAGTGGATGTTATTTTGGAACTTTCAACTGGTCCGAGTGAGCTAACTGATTCTTTATCAATAAACTGTGACTTCAAAAATAATATTCACTGACACTGACAGCAACAAGCAAAATATCAGGTGCGTTTTAATCATCCGCTTCTGCTTCCGGAATTGTCGGTTAAGTCGTTTTATCCTGTCAGATTAAAACAAGAAAACCGACAATTCCAAAGCAGAAGCGGATGATTAAAACGCACCTATTAATGCTGCGTTTGAGAATCCACATCGGATGCATTTTTTACATCTCGAGCGTTTTTTTATTCACATCGGACACATCTGTCCCATTACATTTACGTATACTGAATCACGTGATCAAAGATTTTTTACATCTCAGATGCATCCGATGTGGATTCTCAAACGCAGCATATAAATATTGCGCCAAGATGTAGGCAACACGTAATAAGGGTTCAAAATGGCGGAGTTTTCTATCTCCTTTTAAAAGGCACTCAGAAAGCTGCGCAGTGCGACCATTCTCCGTATAGTAAAAGAAAATCAAAGTATGTGAGTCCGACACGCCCAACATAGAGCGCGGCCATTTTGAACCCTATGACACAGTTTATAGCTAAAGAATCAGATCGCTCACTCTGCGTCGGCACTTTTGATCTCAATGTTCCAGTTTATATACTGCGCAACTCGAATAATACAATATATGACAACCGTCAGTCTTATGCGTATCCTGAATTTGTATCCCTGGAGTGGATGTTATTTTGGAACTTTCAACTGGTCCGAGTGAGCTAACTGATTCTTTGGCAATAAACTGTGACTCCAAAAATAATATTCACTGACACTGACAGCAGCAAGCAAAATATCAGGGGCGTTTTAATAATCCGCTTCTGCTTCCGGAATTGTCGGTTTTGTCGTTTTAACCTGTCAGATTAAAACAAGAAAACCGACAATTCCGAAGCAGAAACGGATGATTAAAACGCACCTATTAAAAATATTGCGCCAAGATGTAGGCAACACGTAATAAGGGTTCAAAATGGCGGAGTTTTCTATCTCCTTTTAAAAGGCACACAGAAAGCTGCGCAGTGCGACCATTCTCCGTATAGTTAAAGAAAATCAAAGTATGTGGCTCCGATTCTCACACTCATTTTCCTATAGTTGGAGAATAGGCTCCCAGAATATATTTTTGTTATGTACCAGATTTGTCTAAAAAATGTACCAGATATTCCCTAAAAATGTACCAGATTCTATAAAATGTACCCACATTTTTCGAATTGTGATGGTCTGGTTCATTGAAAAGCAAAGAAAACAAACAACACAAACAAGAAAGACCCCTCTACAATATATTTTACACGTCAAATGGAAACACGCTGGAAAAAGAAAAAGTACTAAATTTTGCTTAGAGTGTACTAGAGTACCAGATTCTCAGAAAATGTACTAGACTGGCAACACTGCTTCTCATACATAACTTGAAATGGACAACTGAAAACAAAATAAATGTTCAGTACTATTAGTTGAAAGTTAAAAGTGTTTTACAAGACTGGTAGGCACATCGAGTTAGTACCTCCATACAATTAAAAAAATAATGATTTGTAAATGAAAACCATTCAACGAAACGTGTCTGCTGGATTGAGTTGGTAATAAATCAAACTAAAGTTGGTAGTCACATTATTGAATTGGCAGCCTGTAATTTTTTGTATATCATGACATGATTGGCAGCATTGTTGACGTCGTTTAGGTGAAGTGTCATTTTTGTCTGCTCTCGTTTTCATCTTTTGTGTATAAAATTGGTGCTAACATACAAAAACTATAAACGAATAAGCGTTTTTATGTCGGAAGAAAGTGTTTTTTATATTAGTGATACGTGATCTCATAGTGGGAGTCCAGAAATCTACATTTTTAGGTAGGTTCCCTTGTTCAATGTTTTTCATCTTGTCAAAATGCGTCATTGATATTCTACAAAATCATTTGGGTACATCTACGGGCTCAATTCCTGGTAAACCTGTTGATTAGAATCAATTAGTAATCGAATGCAGACATTTTGTTGTAACTGTCAGCTGATTTACCAAATCTTTTACGCCCTTGAATTGCTGTGTAATCACGGAATTTACAATACGCCCCCCTCTTTATTGCTTCAATATTTCTTTATATAATTACATTTACCTCATTATATATGGCAGGATTCAATGTGAAAATCGCATTCTTGATGTCTATGATAACAGTCTTTTTTAACAGTAATCAAGTATATTTAATTTTATACATTAGATAAACATGTGTTATGAACTTTTGATAATTCAGTTTATCTTACGATTGTTTGTCATTTTTGTAGACGGTTTTTGAACATAAATTGCTATCTCTATATATGAAGGCAAACAAAAGTTTCCTTTCTCTTGAATGTGTATTTCCAACTGTAGTTTAAAATAAATATACCACAAAAGTCTCACATAGTAACTACAGTTAATAAAAAAATAGTCCACTAATTTTAATAATTTGACTACTTCTTAAGTAAACTGTACATTTATAAAACAGTATTTTTACTAGTTATCACTAAAACAATAAATTTTAAGTCCAACAATCATTTAGTTTTGGAATGTAAGTAATTTGTTAAACCTTATTATTGTGAACCCAATTGATGAAATTATTTCATTTATATTGTTTTCAGTGTTTATAAACAAACATGTTTTGTATTCATATACATTTAGTAAGGATAACAATGCATGTACTTAATTTGCAATTAATTTTGGATTAGTATATATAAATAGCTGGATAAATAGTTACCAAGATACATTATTTAGCATAATAAGTAATTTGAAGGAGATACAATTAATTTATAATAAATATACTTATTGATAAATTCAAATCTAGTTATTCTAGTCTAGCAATCAGGTAATTTGTTCCCCTATATTTTGCTTGAATTTGAATTATTTTTCTTATGTAATTGCTTTAATATAATTATATTTAGTCATTAATTCTATGATAAGTAAAGGTATTTAAACAAGTGAATGTAAAATTCCAAAATAATGTAGATTGCATTCAAATCTGGCTGGCATCACCCCTGTCAATTTTAGATACAATTGTTATCATGAATTACATACTCTGTCATCTCGAGACCCTTCTAAGTAGAATAAACCAAAGAGATCTTAAAGTTTTATTTAATATAAATAATTCTTATGATACTTTTTCCTACTTTTTATCTCACATTTATCTCTCTAGAGCAGGGGTTCCCAATCTTTTTTGCAGTGAGTCTCCCTGGATTATAAAAATATATTCGTGTCCCCCTTATAACTTTTTTTATTGTTATAATAAAAAACACATAATTTTCACAACATTTATTTCTCAATTACAAATATAATAAATTAAATCTTTGGTGTTCACTCTTTAAAATAATTACGTATTTCAAATGAAAAAGTAAACAGTAAAATTATGTTAATGCGATGTTTACTTACACCTTCATTTTCTGAACCAGTTGGTCAATGCCAGGTTAAATTTCCACAAGACCATTTTGCTACCAAGTTTTAATTTGAACCAATGTTGAAAAACTGTCAAGAGATGGAAGTCATCTTTTATGGGAAAATTGGCCTTTATTTATAGAAATTCTTGTTAAATATCTTCTGGTAATTGTAAGACATTGACCACAAATGAATTTCTAATCATGTGCCATATGGGTGATTCTAATTAATGACTATAATATCACATAAATGCATGTTTTATTGTTTTCAACGGATCTACTATATCAGTTTCTACATCTTCGTCCTGTCTTTGATTTTTAAATGTTCCCCGTAGTTGCAACAAATAATATATTGTTAGTAGGTACCTAATTACTTTTTAAACCAAAGTTGAATCTTTAATATAAAGCCCTGAATGTGATTGAAGTTACTAATCATATCTTTATTAACAAGAGTACATTTAAGAGTCCATATATATTTTTCGTCAGAATATACCAATACATTGGAGCCCCCTTTATAATATCTTTATGTCCCCCTAGAGAGGCGCTCCACTGGTTGGGAAGTCCTCTAGAGCAGTGGTTCTCAAACTTTTTTGGTGACGGAACCTTTTTGAAAAATAAAATATTTGATGGAGCCCTAAACACATTTCTAAAAAAAAATAGAAAGGTCCATATCGCCCTTCTTCTTAGTGACTCTAAAAAACAGGCTCAGAGCCAGGTCCCTCCCCCTTGTTCGCGGAGCCCCCACAAAAAATCAAAATTAAAATCATATCCTCCTTCCTTTTGGTGACTTCTAAAAAAAAGGTCCTCAACCCAAGTCCGTCCCTTTTGTAACGATAGTACTGCTTTTTTTTATTATGACTATTATTTTCTTCGCGGAGCCCCTACAAAGGCTTTGCGGAGCCCTGGGGCTCAGCGGACCACACTTTGAGTACTGCTGCTCTAGAGCAACTAATAATGCTAATATACTCTTCCAACCTTTCTATAGAACAAATTATGGTTCTCATTCTTTTATTCCTAGAGTTATAAGATTTGATAATTGACTAAACATAAAATTCCTTATTTTTTCAACAGAATTTAGTAAACACCTTCATATATTATGTTATATACACCCCAGCACAAAATTCCACTACCCTAAAATTTTGACCAAATTTGATGTTTTATAACTTTTTCATATTTTATCCAGGGTTTGGAGGATATATATCAAGTGATAATATATATCACGATATACAGGGTGTTTCAAAAAGGTATGTCATAAATTCTTCCACAGATAGATTATCAAAAAATAAGTGGATTTGGCTACATTTACCTATATCAAAAACTGGCTCCTAACAAAGTTACAGGGTGTTAAACTAACATTCAAAAAAACGTTTTTTTTTTGTAAAAAGTTTGCTGTTGCGAATTTTTTTTTGAAATTTTTGCCAGTGCTGTAGATTTAAAGGCACAATATTCCAAAGAGAAAAAAAATTAAAGCTACCCCTTTAAAAAAAGTTGGGGGGTTGGGTATGTTTTAAACCCCCCCGTATTTTTTTTGTCATAAAAGTTTCTTTATAAATACATTTCCAAACTGACGTGTATTTTTATCAGTGGCATGGTAAACCAAGGGTGGCACAACATTTTTATGGCACCAATCCAATATTATAAATACCCTTTTTACAAAAATATAAACAAAAGAGGTACTTTTTGCAGGGGCGGCTCAAGCACAGCCCTAGACACACTACTGATTTTTATATGCGTTTTTTGTACAATTACTCCTGACCTACTCTTAGTTTTGTTGATATGTTAAGTACAGGACGGACGAATTGCTCTAGATATGCAGTTAAAAAATTGCAAATAGCTCGTTAACTAAGAAAGATACAAAGTTCATTTTGCTATAAAAAAAAAAAATTAAAAATTCATAGTTCTTTTTGATTTTTAGATCGATAAGGCAAGTTTCTCTATGACAAAAAAAATACGGGGCGGTTAAAAGGTACCCAACCCCCCAACTTTTTTAAAGGTGTCGCTTTAATTTTTTTTTCTCCTTGGAATATTGGGACTTCAAAACTACAGCACTGGCAAAAATTTCAAAGAAAAATTCGCAACAGCAAACTTTTTACAAAAAAAAATCGTTTTTTTTTAATGTTAGTTTAACACCCTGTAACTTTCTTAGGAACCAGTTTTTGATATAGGTAAATATAGCCAAATCCACTTATTTTTTGGTAATCTATCTGTGGAAGAATTTATGACATACCTTTTTGAAACACCCTGTATGTCATGATATTTATACCTTGATATATATGCGATATATTCGATAATTTTATTTATTAAATTAAAAATGTTTTCCACAATTCTGAACATTCAAAAATGTCTCAATACGCCCCTGCATAAAAGTATAAAAACTAGCGATTTATATGTGTTTGTGTTAAAATATTAATGTTAATAAAATAATGTTAAAATTTGTTTATTTTATTAATTATTTTGTTTTTTCTTTTTAATTTGAGTTAGAATAAAAGTCTTTGTTAATATGTTTGTGTTAAAATTTAAAATAGTTTGTGCAAGAAATAATACTGTATTTTAATTAAATAATTAAATTTTAAAATTGATATATATCGGATATATATCATATGATATGATATTTATATAAATATCATGATATTTTCGAACCCTGCTTTTATCCTATTTTAATGAATTTTTTTACCAGCTTATAGATAAATTGTGATTTTTTTATTGTAATAAGTAACATTTTTCGTTTCGGATATATTATACAGGGGTAAGTCAATTGTTTACGTACAGTTTGCTTTAATCTCAGATGTATTCCAATCATTTTGCTTTTTGAGTCATCCCATTAACTCATTTCTTATATGAGCCACATTTTTTCTAATAAAATTCTGTTAATTTTAAATGACGAAGCGATCATCAGTTACAGTGGTCATTCTCCTTCTACCAGAGCTTTGCTGCCCAGTAAAGTTCCCTGTCTGTAAATAGCTGTTCCAAGCATCTCAGACTGTAGACCGTGGAATTCCCAGAGTACGGGCGACAACTTTTAGTATGGCCATTCTCTATTAGAGCAACAATTCGACCCAAATCTGCTGTAGTTAATACCATTATAACAAAACAACAAATTCTAATACGGAACTGTCAATGTCAAACATTTTGTCACAATAATTGCATTCTTAGCCAACTTCGATAATTAACTAATAGCTTGACATCCATTTTTCACAAATTAAATTCACTGTTGGGTTCTAATTAACAGTGCTGTTCCTAAAGTGGCGCTGGGAAACATTAACAAAGCCTACACAGAACACGAGGCTAATGGCCTTAGTAGTTGATGTCAATGACCATATTAAAAAAAAAATAATGCAGCTCACAGAAAAAATGAGATGATACTAGGAAGAATCAAGAAACAAAATATTTGGAATACATCTGAGATTACAGCAAACAGTATGTTAACAAAATTATCCACCTTAATTTTGCTACAA